CTAGCGCGCATGCTCATAGGAAATATTATTACAGATACGCATGCGCAATTTCCTATGAGCATGCGTGCTAGGAGAAAAAACACCCTATTTTTAAAGTACGGTATGCTAAAACTCTCTACTCTCTGGTCTCGTGGATTCGACGCTATAGATCCGCTCTGATTTCACTTGTTTGCTTTGGATGCATGTTGGCAAATTCATAAATCGCTTCACTTTAGCAGCAATATTTTTGAATTCTTATTGGAAATAATTAGTGTTTTCAGTTTTTATTTTTTGTAAAAATTCCTTGTAGTTGAAGAACTGACGATTCCATGTCAAAAAAACCAATCGTTCGGTTTCTCGAATGGACATCTTTGGAAGACCAGTAGTCTGGAGAAGTCCTCTGCAACCCTTCTGTTTCTTGGAATGGTTTATGGGGGCGGGAACCCAAGTGATTTGTAATACTGGTATTTGGGAAGAAAGGGGCGGGTCTGCACAAGAAGAAAAGTGAAAGTGTAGAATTTACTCGGAGGACCCGCGCTCAGACAATGTTCCAAATTGGTCTGACAGCAGCGCGAAATTGGTGGGTTTTCTAACCTCCTTGTGTGAGAAAATGTATTGCCATTTTCCAAGAACTCTGCTTGTTTGCAAGTACAGGCTTATTAGGAGAAGGAGGGGGGTCGAAAACCGTCTGAGGTTAAAGGGCAAACTTTTTTATTTTTTTTACAAAAAAGTATAAGCTTACAAATTAACAACTAGTTCATGGTATGCTTATTATGTTTAAAGAGACGAACACTATTATAAAATAGTAGCCAAAGGAATAAAGAGTTTTAAACTGACTTATTCTGTTAATGTCTAGGGCAAGGGTGGCCAAGCCTTGAATATTTTTCCGACCCGTGAGGTTTATCACGCTTTTACAAAATATATTTATTTCATAATGGCCAAAGTAGTGAAAATCAATGTATTAAAAATAATACATTATGTGTGCATCCCTATATTCAAAAATGAACTGTCGTAATTAGGAGAAGAAATTACCTTTGATTTTAAAATACTATTCTTGCTCAAACAAGTATCGCACTAGTAAAATAAATATTTTTTAATGATATCATTTTTTTTTTATTTCGTTTTATATTTATATATTTTTTACGCATTTTTGATACATTTCCAAAGTTGCCCGAAAGATCATTTGGGTTGGCCACCTCTGGTCTAGGGTTTGCTGTTATGCAGAATATTTAAACACTTCTTTAAATAAAATTTTTATATGGAATTGCTTTTTTTAGAAGTTGGTAACAGTTTGTTGAATAAATAAAATATGCGACATAATGATTTTAATAAATTTATAAGAAAAAAAAAAATATTAAGAAAACTGGTGATGCATGGATAGTGTTTAATCTTCCTTCACTGGCATTTTGTTGATTTCTTCTGATCATGATAATTGCGTAAAAATAAAAATTGTAAGGGTCCTGATGGCCGAGTGGCTAACGTTCTGGCACTCAGCACCACAGGTATCGGGTGCGAATCCCGGCTGTGCCATGGATGTTTATAGTGGTTCGGAATCCACTTTAAATAGTAGGCCTCCCGTCCTAATAGGATCGAAGAGCATTGAGGGGGTAGTGTTACTTGCGTCTGTAGTCTATCTTCAAGCTACACGAGCCTAAGTCGTGACTCCTGTGTAGTGCTAAATGAATAACATCAGTGCAGCCCTTGCTTATGGCATAAAGATTAAGCATGTAACTAAACTGTAACTTAAAACTGTATAGTCAGCTGCAGTAGAACAACATATCAAATTATTGGAGCATCACTTTACTGATGACAGGTATATCGCTAACTATTATTTGTTTAGTTTATGTTATTATTTTATCTATTTTTGGATTTTTATGTGTTTGTTTATTGAGTGTTTTAATTATTTTCTCGACTTTTATTTTCATTTTTGATGAATTTTAATGTGAAACTTATTATTAGGAATGCCGTTTATCATTAGAACAACAACAACATAAAAATTTCAATATAAGAAACAACCGTTTTATTTATAATTTTAAAATTATTTAATTACACAACACACTGTTTACAATGTGGTTATGTTTCCTTCTGTACCTGTCTGAATGCGTCATCTTGTGCGCATGCGCCTTATTGAATATTCATAGTGCATTACTGGAAAAGCGTGAACTGTGTGCGCCGATGCAACCGCCCACCACATGAAATAAACCAATTTTTACCCTTAATACAAGGCACGAAAATTTCTTTATCGCCAGCTGGGATCTTCATTCATCGTGAGTTTTCAGACCCCCCCACCACCCTCCCCCTCGAGAACAGCTCCGTGTGGGTGGTGAAACGCGCACTTCCAGGTTGCTGCGAACGTTTTCAAATTGTTTTGGGATGGGCTTCTTTAACGGTGTGTCTGTTGCCCGCCATTTTTTAATACCGGCACAGTGATTCGTTGGCGAGATTTCTCTGTGGCCATTTAATTGCCGCACGGCTTTCTCTCTCGCCTGCAATGCGGGGGCGTCAGTGTGTGAGAAAGGGTTGCACTCTGTGGCAATAATGAAAAACAGTCGAACTTCTGGCACCTCAAATCAGCTTTTGGTTGACTGGTTGACGTTTTCTTTTTTGGAGCTATTTAGCCCCCTGGGGGTTCCATCTCCGATAGAACAGGGTAAATACAGTTCAAACAATGAAATTTGCCCAGAATATATTTACAAATATGGGGCCTGTATGAGGCAGTTACTCTTAAAAGTCCTCCCGAGACGCTCTATCATCACCCGTCAGTGGGCTGTTTGTTATACACATAAATAGAACACGAGGCCCACCCATGTTAAATAACCAATGTATTATATAATTATAGTTACAATTATACATCATTCAACGTAAATTCAAATAAAATAAAAAAAAAATTCAAATAAAAGGGGCTTGATGGTCGAGTGGCTAGCGCTCTGGCGCTCGGTACCACAGGTTTCGGGTTCGAATCCTGGTTGTGGCGTGGTTGTTTATGAGTGGTTCGGAATCCACTTTAAACTGTAGGTCCCGGTCTAGTTAACCCAGAGTGTGCACAAGATGACCGTAGAGCGACAAATAAAACCCTGGAGGCGCCATCTCCGATAGGACAGGATAAATACAGTTCAAACAATGAAAATTGAACAGAATATATTCACAAATATGTGGATTGATGGCCGAGTGGCTGGTGCTCGGTACCTCAGGTTTCGGGTTCGAATCCCGGTGTTGCCATGGATGTTTGGAGAGATTCGCAATCTACTTTAAGCCGTAGGTTCCAGTCTAATTATACAAAAATGTACGTAGGATTATACAAAAATTTGTCTTAACTATGTTACTGAATCGATAAATGGGAATAAGAAGAATAAGAAAATCTTACGTTACCATAGTGCCAACTTGCCTAAATGACCTGCAGGAAGCGAATCCCCTGGTGGCATTGTTGTCGTCACTGTTTTCAGAAACGAGGAGACTCAGTGGAGATTGTGACAATGTGTTTAAAACGCTTTGATAATCAGAGATCTTGAGGGGAGGGGGGGCGAGTTTTCCATGCGATAATCACATGGGAAGCTGTTACTATTAAAAGTCCTCCTGAAACGCTCCATTATCACCCGTCGGTGGACTGTATGTTGTACACATAAATGGAACACGAGGCCCACCCATGGTAAATAAGAAATGTACTATATAATTAAAGTTACAATTATACAATCATGAATAAGGAGCTTCAAGGCCGAGTGGCTAGCGCTCGGTGCCAGACGTTTCGAGTTCGAATCCCGGCGGTACAATGGATATTTCTAGTGGTTCAGAATCCACTTTAAACCGTGGGTCCCGGCCTAATAGGATCGTAGAGCGTTGCGAGGGAACTGTTACTCAGCGTCCGTAGCCTATCTTCAAGTTACACGTGCTCGCTGGGTAGTGCTAAGTGAGTAACGTTTGTGCAAAAGCTTGCCTTAAGGCATCAAAACACAATTGTCTAAGTGTTTGTTAGCTGCATTGGAACAAATAAAAAGAAAAGAAAAGTATTTAAAAATTAAACTAAAATTTCGCGAGGACGTTTTAAATCATAATTGGGAACGTAAGAGCCAATCTCCTATATTGCAGTATTTTCATGATTTATAAGCGTGTCGAAAAATTTAACAGAGATGTGTTTAAGAAAATCTTTTAAAGAAGGAATGTTAATAGCTTTATAGACATCAGCATTGCGCATGAACCATTTAGCAGAGGTCATTTGGCGAATAGTAATGTTTTGTAAAGTTTCCAGCGTTGCTAAGTTAGATTTAGCTGCATAGCATCAGTACATGAGAATGAGGCGAAGCACAGCAGTATAAAGAAGAATTTTGTTATCCCTGGTCATGGTAGAATTTCTATTTATGAGTGGGTAGAGCACTCTGAAGGCAATACGAAATTTACTTTTGGTGTGCAGAAAATGTTGTTTCCAAGTTAAATGCTGATCCAGAATAACTACTAAATATTTAGTTTGACTATTCCAAGGGATAATATTACTATTGTTGATCACAGGTTTTTTTTTTTTTTTTTTTTTTTTTTTTTTTTTTTTTTTTTTTTTTTTCCAATACAGAAGAGAACAGCTTCAGTCTTATCTACATTTAAAGAAATTTTCCATTTATCGGACTAGTTATTAAGTCAGCTTTTTTAAAAGTCTTTTTTTCAAACTACCTTGTATGTAAGATATTTGAAAAAAAAAAAAAAAAAAAATCTTATGGTAATTAATTTTTAAAGTAATAATAAATGAGTAATTTTAAGCATTACTAGTTTTTAAGTAATTTAATAATTAAGTAATATTTGAAACAAGGTAATTTTGAAAATCGTACGATAAGGTAATTTGAAAAAAAAAGCCTTATGATTAAGTAATTTTAAAATCTCACGATAAAATAATTTGAAAACGTTTTATGATATGGTAAGATAAGGAAAGATGCTATACGTAATTTTTGAATGATTTTCAAATGTTTATAAATAAGCAAATATACGAACCCTGGGCCAATTAATTAGAAAAATAAACATTTATTTATAAAAAAGCACATGCGTCTTCGTTAGATCACCGAAGTCAAGCATCATTGGGCGCGGTCAGTACTTGGGTGGGTGACCACCTGAGAACACCGCGTGCCGTTAGCATTCACAAATTTGGGACTTGAATGGCCGAGTGTCTAGCGCTCTGGTGCTCGGTGCCACAAGTTTCGGGTTCGTATCCCGGCGGTGCCATGGATGTTTGTAATGGTTCGAATCCACTTTAAGCCGTTGGTTCCGGTCTCCCATGACTATAAGAGCGTCACGGAGCCAAAGTCAGACTTCTACCTACGGGTGCTCGATCACAACAGTAGCTGCTTCCTTCCCCTTCAATCATGAGTACGTATGGGCTCGTGGGCTTGGCCAGCCAAGTGGGATAAGAAAAAAACAAACAACAAATACATGTGTCTTGGTGGTCAAGTGGCTAGCGCTCTGGCCTGTGGTATACATGGCTTTAGGTTCGAATCCTGGCGATGGTATGGATGTTTGTTGATGGTTCGGAATCCACTTTAAACTGTACGTCCCAGTCCGTTTAGCCCTCATGTGCACAAGATAACTGTAGAGCGACAAACCAAATCATTATTAAAAACACATTTTATTCAGTGTATAATACATTACAAAAAGGGCCTAGACTTTTATCAAAATAGCCCACCCGGGATGTAATGTCTTCATCTATGCTGTCAACTAGCCTAACACCATAGATTCAACTCCTATAGCTATCACATCAGCCATTTGTAAATGCTTGTTTTATATTGTAATTTATGTGTTATACGAGAATGACAAACGTATTAATATTAACATAATAACAAACGTTGCGCCCAACAAGTTGTGAGCCTGATGGTCGAGTGACTAGCGCTCGGTACCACATCTTTCGGGTTCAAGTCACGGCGATGCCATGGATGTTTGCAGTGGTTCGAATTCACTTTAAACCGTAGGTTTAGTTAGTTTACCGTCTGTTTAGCTGTCGTGTGCACAAGATGGCCGTAGAGCAACAAACCAAACTTCAAAGTCAAAAAAGTTATTGCTGAATATTGGTTTAATATTGTACCAGTCTATTTGGATCAACAAACACTTGTGAGCATGTCAGATATGAATACTAGACCGAATAGAAACCATCTGACTAATCGCTGTTATGTTTAATTCTTTCAAAAGTATATTTATGCACATACAGCGATTATTGTATGAGACTCGCGCACTTCTAAAATGTGTGCATCTTTATTTTAGGATGAATTCGGCCTAACGGCCAGTTGGGCCATTGGTACATCAGGCTTCAGGTCCAAATCCTGCCGGTGGAGTGAATGTTTGTTAGTGGATCGGAAACCACGTTAAATTGTAGGTTCCGATCTAATCAGTCTGAATTGTGCAAAAAATGACCGTAGAGAAACAAAAAAATCGTTAAAATGTTTGTATACAGGCTAATAAATGTATACGACTCTCAGATACTTCTGTCACAGAGACAGTTAGAGAAATGACCTCACTGTTATTTCATGGGAAAAAAAAACAAAAACTTGAAAAATCTTTTGATAAATCAGTCTGGCTGAATAAATGACGAACAAATAAATAAACTAAGCTGAATAAGAATATTTTTTGTAAACAACTTTTATCGAAATTATTTTCTTTTTTGAATAGAATTATATGTTTTTCGCAAAATGTATTGATGTACTCACAAAAATGGATGGCAATGGGGCAGAGAGTGTGGTAATAACCTATCAAGACAGTATTAATGAGTACGAAATGCCATCATCTTTTCAAAAGGCTGTAGGGACCTTGAGTTTCGGCAGTGTATTAAATGATTTTGAATTTCGCCCGTATGAATTCTTCATTGAAGTCAGTCGGACTGGTTCCCACTCATCGACTGTAGGTATCTGGTTGTGCGGGAACGCCCTTCCCTTGATGAGTGAGGGACGATAACTCATCTTTCGCAATGCCCTTCCTCTATAAATCCTCGCTGCCATCTCGAAGGGAAACCCGAGAATCATCCTCGGGATGGTTTCAGGACATCCTTCTACACCACCGATTCGTTCTCTCGAGCGGGGCTGTTTCCTTTTGAAATTGAGTTTTGCGGCGGTCAGTTTGTTGTAGGTCAAGAGACAACAGGGCGTACTCTGCTGCGGTGGCGGGTCAGAAGCAGCCTCTGACCTACATTCGCCCACGCGGCCCTTCGAATCGCGGCTTGATTAATACGAAACCAATGACAGAAAGTCTCTGGAAAGGAAAAACAATCATGTCCATGTCGCCCCTAATTGTTCACTTGGCGCCTTTTATCTCATCCCACAGGCTCTTGAATCGCTGTTTCTTGTTAATAAATGGCTCCTAAATTCCTAATGGGTCTCAGATTAAAAATGGGTCTCTAAAAAGGTGGATGACTATCGGACATTTTAGCCGGATAAACATCATTAAACGTGACTCTATTTGTTTATGCATTGGGCCCATTATTCATCATCTGTGTGCTTTTCACGACACTACTAAAGTGTAGGTTTCTACTTTTATTGTTTGTAATACACTTTTATCAGGGTCAGTAGAATACAAGTTTAACAAGTTGCCACGCCAGTCGATACAACACAACACAACACAGCAACCATCTCTAAATATGTTTGGTCGCGTACTTCTAAGACACCCTGAGGATATATATATATATATATATCCTCAGGGTGTTATAATTCACTTTTTGGGGCATTTATAAGTACTTCATTTTAGTTTTACTAACTTCATTCGGTTTTTACGCATTTCCTAAACAACATGTTTCATATCTTGTTTTTGTTATAATTTTCTATGAAATCCGCCTTATTTTGTATCTTCCGCCTTAAACCAAATAATAGACTTTCAGGTAACTGATGTATCGCGAAGTTTTGGTTCTATTGTGATTTTTGTGTGGAAATTTGCTCTCTCTGAGACACTAAGTGCCCGTATTTGTTACTTGAATTACCTAAACGAAGTCGAAACTACTCCGTAACGCACGTTGATGTAAAAGAAAACTGAAAAGTCTTTGAAACTTCAATTTCATAAATCACGATAATTAAGGTTTGTACTCGTTGAAAAGTTTACGGCCTGATGGCCAAGTGGCTAGTGCTCTGGCCTTTGGTATCACAGGCGTCAGGTTCAAATCCTGACAGGAGCATGGCTGCTTGTTAGTGGTTCGAAACCCACTTTAAACTGTAGGTTCCGGTCTGTTTAGCCCTAGATGTGCACAAGATGATCGTAGTGCGACAAACCAAACCAAACCAATCAAGACACTTTAATAAGCCAATATAAAGTTAAGTGTTTCTGTTTTTTGATATTAAACTTGCAGATTTTCTTAAATCCAAAAAAAAAAAAATCTGATTAAACGATCGAGAAGTTTTGCATTTTTTTTTTCCCTTCCAAATTGTTTGATTTAGTTTTCATTTTTTAAGAAAGTTACCACACAGTTAGTAAACCAAAACCAGCATTAAACCTACTATTTTGTAGGATACATATAATATTTTTAAGTAGAAAAAAAGAAGCCATCTTTTCTGGTTCATTCGTATTTCGAAAGCATCTTGCACCGCTGTTCTTTTTTCATTTTTTTATTTTGTTGGCAACGGACGCTGCGGCAGTGCTATTTCGAAGAAGACGCCCGGAATCAGAATGCGGCGCAGAGGTAATTTTTCACCTTCGGATCGCGGCGTCTGGTCCGGGCCCACCTTACCCGGAAGGGGGGGGGGCAGGTAATAGCATTTAAAAATATTCAAGAGCAAAGAAAGCGAGAGATGCGAGTACGAAGTGCGATTCCCATTCTTATTCATATCCCAATAATCGTCTGACAGGCCGACTCCGCGAAGCATAATTACGTGGAAAAGAAGAACGACGCTGTGTTTTTAATACTAATCGCATTCTTGCACCCCCCCTACCCCCCTGTTCTCCATCTGATGTGGGTGCGGCCTCTTCTCGCGCATCCGGCCTCTTCTCATTTTCTGTCTGCCCCCCCCCTCCCCTCTGATTCAGCAGAATAATGCAACGGATAGCCTACCTGGCCAACCGACGGCTTTTGTCGAAGATGACAGTGGATGGTTTTTCTGTCTGTCTAATTCGGTGTTGTTTCCAGCAATTGCGCAATTTAGATTACAATTTTTAGCTTCAGTGTGTGATTCAAAAATTTCTTTTGTATTCTTTAAAAGATTTGTTTCATTGCCACTTCCATGCATCCCAATATATGATGGTGGATGGTTTTGTGTAGATCTAATTCGGTTTCTTCAGTTTAGTTTCCAGCAATTGCGCAATTTTGATTACAATTTTTAGTGTCTCAAAAAGTTCTCTTTTTTTTTTTTTTTTTTTTTTTTTTTTTTATTCTGTGAAAGATTTGTTTCATTACCACTTCCATGCATCTCAGTATTTGTCTCGATGATAGTGGATGTCTACTTGACTTGTCCAACTACACTTCAGCAATTGAGCAGTTTTGATTTCAATTTTTAACTGTAGTATGAGTCTCAGAAACTTTTTTTTTTTGTATTCTGCAAAATATTTGTTTCATTGCCACTTCTATGCATTCCAATATTTTTCTCGATGATAGTGGATGTTTTTGTGGATGTCTACTTGACTTGTCCAACTCCATTTCAGCAATTGCGCAATTTTGGTTTTAATTTTTAACTGCAGTGTATTTCAAAAACTTTTTGTTTTCTGAAAGATTTGATTCATTGAAACTTGCATGCATCCCAATATTTTTCTCGAAGATGGTGGATGTCTGCTTGACTTTTCCAACTACATTTCAGCAATCGCACAGTTAGATTACAATTGTCTTTCATCACAAATCTTAATTGGAATTTGTTTCTCGAAAACTGATTTTTCATCGTATTCTATGAAAGATCTGTTTTGTAGAAATGTTAAATCCATATTTTTATCGAATAGGATAAATTATGGTTGAAACTTTTGTGAATGTCTAACATGACTTATGCAGCCTTATTTATAATTCTTACTATAATGGAACAGCAGTTCTTTTCTCAAAAAAGATTTTCTAATTGTATTTTTTCATTCCTGTGTGCATTACTGAGCAATTAAATGAACGCCAAATTTTTCGGATGTTAACTTAAATGTTTTTATGTAAATATTCAAGTGAAAAGGAGAAGAGTTCTCACTCCTGTCTGAGTTAT